ACTATGCCAGTTTTGTATTCACAGCTTTTAATTCACATTGCTTTTTCTGCATCCTAGAAATGCTGTTTAGATAATACCTTAAGAATCTGTAATACTGATGCAGCAGTTCATGAATTCCTTTAGGTTATATTTATCTTATGTACATAGCAAAATTGATTGACAGGTATATATGTGCATTCGCGTGCGCGTGCGTGCACATAGTGTTTTCTGTTTATTTGATTTGCTTCCCCCTGCCACCCCAGGGTTTGAATTACATCTGTGTATGTATTCCTGGCCTTTAGAATTTCTGCTAAGAAATCTGCTGCTGTTGTGATAAGTTTGTCTTTAAAGGTGCTTGTCACTGTTCTCTCTTGCAGATTTTAATATTCTTTCTTTGAACTGTACTCTGATAATTTAACCGTAATGTGTTGATTCTTTTCTGTTCCATGTCTGTTTTTCTAAATACCTCTAGTGCCTGAGTGTGTATGTTATTTCCAAAATCTAGGCAATTTTCTGCTGTTTCATAAGTAAGCTTCAGTCTTTTGAATTTTTTCATGTGTATGAGTGTTTTGCTAAAAGTGTGTTTGTAGCATGTCTGTGTAACACTGTGATGGTTAACATTACATTTAAGGTTTTAATTACTATGTGCATGCCTGGTACCCCCAGAAGCTAGATGAGGGTGTTGGATCCCCTGTGACTAGAGTTGCAGATAGTTGTCAGCTGGGAATCCAATTTGGTTCTATATGAAAGCAGAAAGGTTTATCTATTATTTTAAAAGATACTGCTGGGCTAGAGAGATAGCTCAGCAATTAAAAGCATATCCTGCCTTTGCAAAGGACTCATTTGGTTCCCATATCCATTAACCCTAGCTGCTCCAGAATCTGAGGAATAAATGATGCATGTTCAAACCCAGTGTGGCTTACAGAGTGAGTTTAGGCCAGCTTACATATTTTGGTGAGACCTTGACTTAAATAAAAAGTAAAAAGAGGGTCATGGGTACAACTCAGTGGTAGAATGCTTCTTCTGCATGTATGAAGCCCTTGGTTTAAATGCCAGTAGAGGGGAAAAAAACCTCAATAAATAAAGAATAATAAAAAGTAGAATGAAGAAGGAAAATAGAAATAAAACAGTTGGATGAGAGGAAGGGCTTGGAGATTTAGCTCTTTGATAGAGTTTATTCCCAACATCACAAAAGAAAGGAAACACTGAAAAATGACAAAGAAAAGACTAAAAAAAAGGGGGGGGGGCTGGAGAGATGGTTCAGAGGTTAAGAGCACTGACTGCTCTTCCAGAGGTCCTGAGTTCAATTCCCAGCAACCACATGGTGGCTCACGACCATCTATAATGAGATCTGGCTCCCTCTTCTGGCCTGCAGTCATACATGCTGTATACATAATAAATAAATGAATAAATCTCTTTAAAAAAAAAAGAATATTTAAAAAAATAATATAAATAAATAAATAAATAAATAAATAAAATAAAAAAAAGGAAATGATTTTAAGATCTATTTGTTATTTATATGTATGTATTTGTCAGCATGTTTGTATGCACACATTTGTGCAAATGCCTGTGGAGGCCTAAGAGGGTGTCAGAATCTCTGGACCTGACGTTATAGGTGGTTGTGACCTTTCAATATAGATGCAGAGAGCCAAACTCATTCTCCTCAAGAGCAGGAGGTGCTCTAACCACTGTGCAATCTCTGCAACCCCAAAATTATTTACTTTATTTAGAAAAAAAAAAAAAAAACTAGTGAGACCTAAACATAATAAAAAAAAAAATAGGATAGGTGCTGGAGAGATGGCTCAACAGATAAGACCACATACTGCCCTTGCAGAAGATTCATTTGATTCCCATATGCACGTTTGGTATCTCCAAATGGCCTGAGACTCCAATTCCAGTGGAGTCCTATTTCTCTAGCCTCCTTAGGCACCTGCATTCAAGTGCATGTACCCCTCCATGTGCGCACACACACACACACACAACACACAAGCAATTAAAAATAAAGTAAGTTTTTTTTTGTTTTGTTTTGTTTTTAAGTGGGATAGACAGAGACCTAATGCAGTGACAGATAGGAGTTACCACCAGTCTCCAGGGTGAGGTCCTATTCTCTGGCTTCCACCTAAGGCAGGTGGGGTGCTACTTGCCACTCCTGTTTCCACTCCACACTATTTTACTTCCTCCAGTGGGGCACTAAAGAACTAGCCTTGCCCCTTCTTCTTTTGCTCCTCCCTGCCCTCCCCCCAGGTTCTGGTTCCATCTTTTCCTCTGTTCATAAACTACCTCTGGACAGTTGAATTGTTTTTTGTTCCTGCTCATTCTTAGGTACCACCATTGCTTCTTCCGCAAGCAACAAACGTTTATCCTCCTGTTCTGACTGCATTCTCATTTCCAACACTTCAGGGAAGGGGGGTTGGGGAGCAGCAAGCTGGTTACAACCCACCCCAGGGAAGATGGGGCTCTGCCACTTTAATACTGGAGCAGAGTAATGAGAAGGGCCCACTTTAATGGGGAAAGTATATATGGACCGCCTTCTTCCCTTGTTCTCGGGTGTGGGGGTGGGTGGGTGGAAGGAATTTGTCCCACCTAGGGCTTGCCGTATTTGCAGTTACTTGAATAAAAAAAGTAACCTTTTCTGGGCAGGGTGTGGGGTGTGGAGAGTTATCTTGAACTCATTGAGTTCCATCTAAAATTTGTGACACTATTCCTATTATTTCATTGTTCTTTGGCACTATCCATTTTTCTTAAGTAATGTTATTACCTTAGTAAATTACTCTCTGGAATTCCTGTGATAAATACCATCAGACTAGCTCAATAAAGATTCATCTTCTATCGGGGACTATGGGGCTCCAGCCCCTCGATAGTCCCCTCCAGGGTCCGGGAAGAATCTACAACCCCCTGATAATTAATCTTTAATGAAAAGAAATGAATCTATGTACACGAAACTCCTTAGTTCATACACTTTATTATTATTCTGTGATAGTTCTCTCTCTACATAGCTTCTATTCTGCTCTCATGCCTAGCTCCTTCCTTGCCTGATTTCTCTATATTTGTCTACTGTCCCCTCTAGGTTCTATCTTAATTCCTTCATCTAGTTCTGCCCCTTCTAGGTTCTCATCTACCTAGTTCTTTCCTCTATCAGCTCCTCTCCCATCTCCTTCCCTCTCATCTGGCTCTTCCTCATCTTGTTCTTCCCCATCTGGCTCTTCCTCATCTTCCATCTCGTTCCTCTTGTCCTCTCTTAGAAGACAATCAATCTAGTTCTTCCCCATCTCAGTTCGTTCCTCTCAAGTTCTTACTCATCTAGTTCTTCCCTTCTCTTTTCTCTTCTCTGTTCTCTCGTGCCCTGGGAGTCCTGGTATATGTACACTTACAAGCAGTATTCCCTTAGCAGTGCATAACCAGGCTCCCAGGGTCAAATGGAGGGGTGATAAGAATCACATAAGGAAGCAATAACCGTTAATTATCATTTGCAACCCCAAAGGGAAGTGACCAATGGGGAAATGAATTAACTAGAGGCTAAATTCAGGTAATATCTAAGAAGAGAGCTCTTAAGTGCTCAACTATAATCTTAGAAAGTGTTAAGATTCTATAAGTTGCTAGGTCAATGGGAGAAAATAAAACTGTCTTTTTTCCCTGTGTCTCCTATCTGTTCAAGCTATCTGCCGTTTTTCTGCAGGGCGGGGGAAAGTGTGCTCAGTCGCTAGGCAACCTGTGTACAGCTAGATGCCTCTGGTGATAGTTAAAGGGAGATCTGGAACTGGAAGTAAGGTTTGGGAAAGGAGGAAGTAAGGCTTAATTGGCACATCCGCCAGGCCTTCTCAAACAGGTAGCCTGTCTGTTCTTAGAGCGTACAGAAGTATCTCTGATAAAGTACTTTCCTCCATCTGGGGATGGACCTGGGCGGATGCTGCTAATGATAATTACAGGGAGGCTTGAGCATAGCTGTCAGCGCAGAAGGTTATCTAAATATTCCTAGAAGTGGTTAGGTAAGGAGTTAGCAGTCAATAACGTTGGTAAGGCTGTAAGAAAGGAGGGTCCGAGCTGAACTGTGTAAAGTTATTACTTAACGTCCACCTGACCTAGGCGGTGTCTCCTCATGGAATTTATCTTAAATCAGGAGAGTTTGCATGTGGACTGTTACTACTGCTAGTCCTTGAAAGTGGCCAAGGGAGATATCTGATTCCAGAGAAAGCCTTTCCTAAGGCAGTTCTCCAAATACCTGGTATGTGTATGTCTAGAGAGTGATCAGTCCACACTGTTAGCCCTTCTTAGGGAAAAGTCAATTGGGAAAGCTATGAAGGCACACATGATTTTCATAACAGAAGACAGCAGATATATAACAAGCCAAGTAACACCAAAAACTCCTTGGGATTTGGCTTCCTCTGGAGGAATTCCTTGATTCCTCCAGGTAGTGACTTTGCCATAACCAGCTGAGTTCTTATGATATTCCTGTGGCCCGCAGCAATCTTCCAGATGACACTTTGAGGATGACCAAATAGTCTCCCTCTGGTGAACATATTGGAAATTTTCAAGCATTTAGAGGGAAAACAGGAGTTAAGCTAATAGCACATTGTATACAGAAACTCTATGGGAACATTTTAACTCCCAACCCCTGCTGAGGTCCACCCCAAGAGCAAAAACCAGCAAAAATCAAATCAAATCTAGAAACCAGCAAAAATCAAGCTTTGGTTTCAGTCATCTCTAAGAATATGTGGACTGAGTAAGGATAGTTGTGTCAGCTATGTGTGCACTAAGTGGCAGGACTGTTGTGATAATAATCCAGGTATACCAAGTGCAGATGGATCCAGTAGCATAACTGGTGTTCCTGTTGCTGCCCTGTTATTTATTTAAAAGAGTTCCAATTCAATACAGGAATTGCTGGGTAAGAGGGAGAGAGTATGCATGGTGAAAAAGAGTGTCATGATCTTTGAAGGACACAGCACCCTGTGAACTTCTTACAGAGTGCATCTACATTGCAATGCTATGAATCTTACTCTTCCTCTTGATGTGGGATGTTTTAGGACTGTCTAACTTTTGAGGATGTGGCTGTGAACTTCACCTTGGAGGAATGGGATTTGTTGAATCCTTCCCAGAAGCAACTCTACACAGATGTGATGCAGGAAACCTTCAAAAACCTTGTTGCTATAGGTAAGGATGAGGTTATTTCCTCACTTAACAATGAGGGAACAAATCTGTCTTACTCACCAGTGCTGTTCAGTGAATACCAAGGGTGACGTGTGGTGAATATACCAGGCATAGATAACTTGTATCATGAACTTACAGAAGTTAATATTATAGACTTAATAATGATTTTTTTCTGGCTCTGCATTTTAGGACAAACTGAGGAAGGCCAGAGGATTGAAGAAGATGAACATTTTAGGAGAAACCTAAGGTAATCTGCCCCTCCAAATGAGAAGAATGTTGCTCAAGTATGTGGGAATCAAAGGTAGAGAGATTGCTCAATAGTTAATAGCCCTGGTTGTTCTTTTAGAGAACCAGGATTAGATTGTCAACACCCACCCACATGGTGGTTCATAACCATCTATAATTCCAGTCCCGGGAGATTAGACACCTTTTTCTCACCTCCTCAGGCACTGTATGTAGGTGTTACACAGACATACATGTAAAGCACTTGTACACAAAGGGTAATTTTTCAAGAATATAGAAATGACTAGAAATTTTAAAAATATGTCAACCAAACAAATATGCTCAACTTCAAAATAATTTTATCTCAAATAATTTTATACAATTTCATAGAGGATTGGTGACATGTAATACACCATCAAGATAATAAGTTGACTTTCTGATAATCCATTATACAAAAAATTTGTTTCAAGTTCAAAATTATTTGAAATTATGTGGTCTGGACAGATAGATGGGTCAAGTGGTAAGAACACTTGCTGTGTAAGCATTAATACTTGAATTCAGTGATCCCCAGCACACACATTTAAAAAAAAGAAAAATGGAAACTGGACTATCCCTGGGGCTTACTGGCTATCAGCCTAGCTGGGAGGGTGAGAAAGGTAGCATGAGTTTCAGATTCAATAAAATATCCCTGTATCAAGGGGATAAGATTGAAAGTTGTAAAAGAGGGGGCCTGGAGAGATGGCTCAGAGGTTAAGAGCACTGACTGCTCTTCCAGAGGTCCTGAGTTCAATTCCCAGCAACCACATGGTGGCTCACAACCATCTGCAACGAGATCTGGTGCCCTCTTCTGGCCTGCAGTCATACATCCTGTATACATAATAAATAATAAATCTTTAAAAAAAAAGAAAGAAAGAAAGTTGTAAAAGAGGATACCTGTTATTCTCACTTGACTTTCTAATGCACATACACACACACATACATATATACATTTACCATATAACTCACAATAAGTACCGATGAGATGGCTCAATAGGTAAAAGTGCTTGCCACCAAGCCTAATGACCTGGGTTCCTTCCTTGGAACACATATGGTGAATCAAGAGAACCAGCTCTTGCAGGTTATCCTATGATATCTACATTGAGGTAGTAGCACATACATACTCACTCACCCATAACCACACACACACACACACACACACACACACACACTAAATAGATAGACAGACAGATAGATAGATAGATAGATAGATAGATAGATAGATAGATAGATAGATAGATAAATGTAGAGGGTTGGGGATTAAGATCACCAGTACTGTTCTTGAACAGAACCTGAGTTTGGTTCATTCCCAGCATCCTTGTACTCTATCCAATTCCAGTGGATCTGAGCTCTTGCCTCTACAGGTACCACAGTTATGTGCACATACCTACACTCACACACACACACACACACACACACACACACACACACACACACACATTTAAAAATAAAACAGATGTCTAAAGTTTGTTGTAAATACAAAGGAAATATTTTTTAAGTTTAAATAAATAATAAAAGTGAAAAATGTATGACATTATATTTAGGCTTTGAGTGTGAGGTGTATTTAAAAAATTGAAGAAAGGGCCAGCAAGATGATTTAGTGGGTAAAGGCTCTTTGCTGCCCAAGGCTGACAACCTGAATTCATCTCCCAGAGCCCAATAAAGGTAAGAAGGAGAGTACTGACATCACAAAGTTCTCCTCTGACCTTCACACACCCTCTCCCTGCCTATCCAGTAATAATTTAAAGTTTGAAGGAATTTCTTCTTTACACTGGTCACTGGTTCTTATCTTCAAAATAGCATGTATATATGCAAGTATTTCAAAATCTGAAAGTTTTTCTGGAAGCATTTTGTTTAAAGAAGGTTTAAAGAGAGACACCTTGAGGACTGACTATTACAATTATAGCAGTAAATGGTAATGAGTTCAGGGCCAGCTTAACCATCAAGAAGCAAGACTCCATCACAAATGAATAATGAAAAATAAGTAAATAAACAATCATAATGACATGAGCATTCAGTGTTTGCAGAATAGTTTACTTGGTAAACATGTTAACATCTATAAATACCAGTATCTTCACATATAGATAGCCTCTAGAAATCCTGTAAAACATTTAGTCCCTTTATGTTAAAGAATTCTGGGCCAGGCGGTGGTGGAGCACATCTTTAATCCCAGCACTCAGGAGGCAGAGCCAGGTGGATCTCTGTGAGTTTGAGGCCAGCCTGGGCTACAGAGTAAGTTCCAGGAAAATCGCAAAGCTACACAGAGAAACCCTGTCTCCAAAAAAAAATTTTTTTTTTAATTTAAAAAAAAAAAAATGTTAAAGAATTCTGATGCAAAATAGGAACAGTTCTCCTGACAGGTAACTTATAAACAAAATTTAAGTAATGTGCCTTCTACTTTTTACAGAAATGAAGTGGTGGAATTATTGTATGAACGAAGTGAAGGGAGGCAATGTGAAGAAATCTTCAGCCAGTTTCCAGTTACTGTTGTGAACAAGAAAACCCCTCATGGAGTAAAACTGTGTGAAAGTAATTTATGTGAAGACATACTTATTGGTCTCCCACCCCTAAATATGCATAACCCCATTCAAACAGGACATAAACCATATGAATATGAGATATATGAAGACAGAGACAGTCTCCATAAATTTAGGGAATCTAGGAAATCCTTCATGTATCCTGAATGCTTTCTAAAGCATGAATATAATCACACCATAGAGAAGCCATATAAATGTCAGCAATGTGGAAAAGCCTTTTCTTCTTCCAGTAAGGTTCGAAGACATGAAAGAACTCATACTGGTGAGAAACCCTACATATGTAACCATTGCGGGAAAGCCTTCCCTAGTCGTGGTTCCCTTCGACGACATGACAGGATTCACAGTGGAGAGAAACCCTTTGTTTGTAAGTATTGTGGGAAAGCTTTCACTGGTCAAAGTTCACTTCCACGACATGAAAGAATTCACAGTGGAGAGAAACCCTATGTATGTAAGTACTGTGGGAAGTGTTTCATTTCTTCAAGTACCTGTCGAGTACATGAACGGACTCACACTGGAGAGAAACTCTATGTCTGTAACTTGTGTAATAAAGCTGTCACTACTCGTACTTCCCTTCGAAATCATGAAAGAATTCACAGTGGGGAGAAACCCTATGTCTGTGAACAGTGTGGGAAAGGTTTCATCTCTTCTGGTACCTTTCGAATACATGAGCGAATTCACACTGGAGAGAAGCCCTATAAGTGTAAGGAATGTGGGAAAGCCTTCACTATACAGAGTTCTCTTCAACGACATGAAAGGATTCACACTAGGGAAAAACCCTATGACTGTAAGGAATGTGGGAAAGCTTTTAGTGGTTACAGTTCCCTTCGACGCCATGAAAGGATTCACAGTGGAGAAAGACCCTATGCATGCAAGCAGTGTGGGAAAGCCTTTCCTGCTTTGGGTGATTGTCAAAGACATGAGCAAATTCACACTGGTGAGAAGCCCTACATATGTAAGCAGTGTGGGAAAGCCTTTCCTGCTTTGGGTGATTGTCAAAGACATGAGCAAATTCACACTGGTGAGAAGCCCTACATATGTAAGCAGTGTGGGAAAGCCTTCACTCGTTGTGGTTCCCTTAGAATACATGAAAAGACCCATACTAGAGAGAATTCTTAAGCATAGAATGTTGAAAGTCCTCCTTATTGCATGTCCCTTCTATAAATAACATGACAGTGTTTACGGAAGAAAACAAGACTCAGTATGAAGTTGTGAGGGCTGCCATTAGTCATATTATTAGATTAACAAACATAAAGAACAAACTAAGAATGCACCCAATAACAAAACTTGTACAGAAATATCAGAAACTTGATTGTAAGAAATAGTTTTAAAATTCTAAAAATTCTTCAAGTAGTGGAGTACTACAAATGTGCATTATGAAAGGTTCAATGCTCCAAAAATTACATATCCTGGAAGAAATTTTCTAAAAATTATATTACACTCATTAGTTTATTATTAAAATAGATATATGAACTATTTATTTCTAAGTTTAATTCTTGTAAGTAAATGGTGGCATGGCATAATTCTCTGAAGTTTGCTTAAGTAATGGGGCAAGGGTTAATAGGTAGTATCTTTTTACCATTTTCCCTACCAGTCTGAAGAATTTTGATTGATTGAATGGTGGAATGGCCTTTTGCGATGTAGCTATAGCACGAGTGGGTTGGCAATAGCTTACAGTACTAGGGCAAGGTTCTCCAGAAGGATAGATTTGCTCTAAATTGTCATCTAATATACTGTTTCTCCTGAGTCTAGAAGTCAAGGGAGGAGAGGGGGAATCATCCTTGGAACTTACTAGCAAAATTTTTGCTTCCTGTTCTGTTGGTATTATGGTTCAACAAAGGGATGTCCTTCCACTGGGAGGAACAACCATTCCTTTGAACTGAGAGCTAAGACACTCACACACAACCTACCCCTGGCTTACTCTAGGTTCTTTGTACCCTTGAGTTAACTAAAAACAGTTATTGACGTGGGGGGCGGGGGATGAGACTACAATTCATGCTAATTATTTTTTACTACTTGATACAAGTTAGAGTTATCTGGAAACAGAGAACATCAATTGAGGAATTGCCTCCATTAAATTGACTGTAAGCAAGTCTATGAGGATTTTCTTGATTAGTGATGGATGTGACAGGGCCACTGTGGGTGGTCCGCTCCTAGGTAGTGGTCCTGTGTTGTACAAGAATGCAGGCTGAGCAAGCCATAAGAAGCAAACTAATAATTAGTCTTCCTCCATGATCTCTGCTTCAAATCCTACTTCTAAGTTCCTGCCTTGAGATTCTACCCTGGCTTTCTCAGTGCTGGACTATAAAGTGTAATCCAAAACAAACCCCTTTCTCCTCAAGTTCGTTTTGGTCAGTGTTTTAGCAACAACAGCAACAAATGAAACTAGGACAAGAGGAAAGGAAGACTATTCTTGGATTCCCTTAGTATTACCAAGTGTGGTGATCAAAACCCATAGGAAGCTACAACTCAGTCCAAACAGGGTAATAAATGGCTCAGATATTTCAAGAATGAAATTGAGAGTTACTTCTCAAGGTAAAGAATTAGCTAATTTGGGTGTATGGTGTTTTTATTTACAAGGTTTTTTAATACTAAAATGTATTTAAATTAAAAATTTTAAAACCAAGATGTTTAGTGCTTGCTGAAGATGAGGAAATACAAAATGACACCAGAAAAGATACTTAATAAATATGGTACACTTGTGAGACCTCACAAAAGTGAGGATTCCGATTGTTTTCTGTCTTATTTTGTTAAAAATCTATGTGCTGGGCATATGCCTTTAATCCCAGCACTCAGTAGGCAAAGGCACATGAGTCCTTGTGAGTTCAAAACCAACTTGGTCTACATAGTGAATTCCACAACAGCCAGGGATGCATAATGAGACCCTGACTCAAACAAAAAAATATATGTTTATTTTTATAGTGTGATGGTTATTGTTGATTGCAACTTAAAAAAATCTAGAAGCACCTGTGAGATGGGCCCCTGAGCTTGCCTGTGAGCAATTATCTTGATTGCATAAATGAAGTAGAAAGACTCACCCACTTCTGGAAGTGCCATTCCCTGACAGGGACCTAGGAGTGTATAAAAGTGGAAAAAGTTAGCTAGCTGAGCACAAGCTCACATGCATTAATTCATTGCTCTCTGCTTTTGACTGTGGAAGTAATGTGAGAAGATGCCCCAAGTTTTTGCCATGTTAACTTCCCCCACAGTGATGGAATTCTGAGCTAAACAGAATTTTTCTTTTATGTTGCTTTTACCTGGATATTTTGTCACTACAACAGGAAATGAAGCTAAGACATATGCACACATATATTAAGCAACTGGTCATGTTTTCTTTCATCTCTTTCTTTACCATGTAATATATTTATTGAGTTAATGTCAATATTGGGTATTGTCATATTTAATTGTGATATAGTAAATGAATAAGCTTTCCTAAAGGGACTTTGATACCTATTCTAAGGAAACAATGTGTTATCAGTTGTACATGAGAATTATGTTAGGTGAAATAGATTATTGTCTTATTTAGAAACGGTGTATAACATAGGATGTTGTTGGGTATCAAGTTCATAAAGGACTTGGAATGGTTGGTCTTCATTGTCCACTTGGCTAGTGAAATACACCTCTACTTTTGGTGGGGAAATTTCCACAGGAGGAGTGACATGTGGGACAATGACTTGAAGGGGAAAACCCACACTTAATGTAGACAACAACTTCCAACAGCATCCCAGAGGAAGTCTCAGGAAAAAGCAGCAGGCACATACCTGCCTTCCCTTCAGTCTGAGTGCATCTATTAAAGCTACTACGATCTCTGCTGATACCAGACTCTATTTTCTTCTCAACATGGACTCAATCCAAGTGACTCTCCAGGCATTTCCAGTCTTTCAGCCTCAGATTGGGACTCCTGGGGCATTTAGCTTCTTGGGGTGGGCAGCTGCCAAGTTTTCTGCTTCTCTGGTGTGCAGCCAGCAATGATCATCAGTCCCTATCATGTATGACAGTCTAGTAAAAGCCTTCTATAATAATTTTCTTCATCTCATTCCTCTGGAAAACCCTGACTAATTGATGTCATTAGTTCAAAGACGGGAATTTTTCTTTTTCAGTTTGCAAAATGTATTCAATTTAAAATTTTTTAAAGATATGTACAGAATGTTTTGGATTCCATTTTGTCTGTTTGGTCTTGGTCCCTGCTACTAATTGAAAACTGTTTACTTTTTTAAAATCTCTTTGTGAACATGCATATACCACAGGACATTTGTGTAGGTCCGAGGACAACTTTGGTTGTCTTCATGTTCCAACTTGATTGAGGCAGGGGACTCTCTTGTTTCTGCTGCATATGAGAGCTGCACTGTGAACTTCTGGGGATTCTCCTGCTTCTATCTCCTATCTTGTCATAGGAATAATGGGATTACAGTTGTGCATTGCTACATCCGGTCTTTTGGGTTTTTTTTTTTTGTTTTTTGGGTTTTTTTTTGTTTTTTTTTTTTAAACACAAGTCCTCTCACTTGCATGGCAAGTGCTTTATCCACAGCTGTCTCCGCTGACCAGAACTGTATTTTTTTTTTCAGGTGTGTCGTAGGTTTCATCATCAAATATGACTTTTCTGTATGTGGCTAATTTCAATCATCTGGACTAGTTTTAGCTTTTATAACTTACTCAAATATTTTCTACAATGCCCTGAACACTGTCCTCCAGTAAATACAGATGTTCTTCAAATTTGGTAATATTTGCTTCCATAAACTCACACTGAAATGAGTTCATAAATTGAAAATGACTTCTACACCTAGGTTACTGAATTTCAAAGCTAAGTTGGGACTAAATTTAATATGTTCAAATTAAAACAGACTAGAAAGAGAAAATTATGAGAAAGAAAATAAGCCCTTTCCCCCCTTCCCCCATAGTCTCGTTGGTTCTTTTTGCTAATAAAAGCCAGAAACTTGAGATACCACTGATAAAACTCAAATTGAAAAGTCTGGCATAGTGGTGCACACCTTTAGCCCCAGAATTTGGGAGGCAAAAGCAGGTGGATCTCTGAGTTTTAGACCAGCCTATTTTGTGCAGCCAGTTCCAGGACAGATAAGGCTACACAGTGTGACTCTGTGTCATAAGTTAAAAAAACAAAACAAAAAAAAAAAAAAGGAAGAAAAAAGAAACAGCTAAGCTGCCATGGGGAAAATATATGTTCTATGACATTCTTGTCAAAGACAAATTTTCATATTTAAGGTTAAAATGATGTATATCCTTGAGTTTCTAGTGCTTACCTCTCATTACTAAATTTGGAAAATTTCTCACATAAACTGCCTTAAAATTTTGTTTATAAGACAAAATTCTTTAACTTTGTTAAGGACTATATTCTCTAAGAAGCATTTTTGCTTTGTTGTTTTCCATTTGTCTTTTTAATGGTATGTTTATATGGGTGGGGTAAAGGGTGGTATTTGAGAGCCACCAAAATCTTGAATACAATCCATTATAAAGGCATTTAATTGCAACTGTCCACTGAGAAGCCCACACCTCTGGTGACAGCATGCAGTGCAACTGTGTCTCTATCCCTGTCTGCAATGTCAAGCTCATTTCAATTAACCTCTAGTTGGAAAAGCAGAACAAAACACTGAGGCCAGTTAGCACTGTTCATGTGGGGCCATTTACTGGAGAGCATGGCCACCCTTCCAGGGCCTACCCTAACAACTGATTCCCCTTCCCCTACTAGCCCTCAACTGACAATAACTCAGCTAGAGGTAGGGCTTCTTGTGCCCCTCCCTCACCCATGTTGGAAGGTTGACTGGCTTGATCTTGTGCAAATCACCACAGCTGCTGTGAATTCATGAGTGCATTGGCCATGTCATGTCTAGGAGATGATGTTTTGCCCCAATTATTGGAGTTCTTAATAGATCCCAGATACTAATCTCTTATCAAAACTATAAATGGCAAAGACTTCCTTCCATTCTATAGGCTGCCTCTTTGCTTTGCTGATTGTTTCTTTTGCTGTGCAAACACTTTATTTCATGCAATCCCATTTGTCTGATTTGGGGACTTATCTCCCATGTAATTAGAATCCTGTTTAGAAAATCCTTGGCTGGGCTGGAGAAATGGCTCAGTGGTTAAGAGCATGGACTGCTCTTCCAGAGGGCCCACATTCACTTCCCAGTACCCATATCAAGGGGCTCACAACTACCTGTAACTCACCTCTACCCTCTGCTTGCACATGCACTCATGCACTCACCTACACACAGGCATAAATAAATACTTAACTTAGAATAATAAAAATAAATCTGAAAACAAAGTCCTTGGTTGAACCTACATCTTACAAAGGTTTTGTCAACCTTTTGCTATTGCAGTTTCAGAATTTCTGGACTTAAAGTTTCTGATTCATTTTGAGTTAATTTTTTCTGCAGGTTGGGAGAGATAGTGTTTTTATTCTTCTACATGTAGCTATGCAATTATCTCAGCACTGTTTTTTGGTTGGTTGGTTGGTTGGTTGGTTGGTTTCTCTTGTGTAGCTGTGGAGCCTTTACCGGAACTCACTTTGTAGCCCAGGCTGGCCTCGAACTCAGAGATCTGCCTTCCTCTGCCTCCTAAGTGCTGGGATTAAAGGCGTGCACTACCACTACCCAGCTTCAGCACTGTTCTTTTAAAAAGGCTATCTTTTCAATATGTATTTTAAAAGCTTCATCAGGGCTGGACAGATAGCTCAGTGGTTAAGAGTGCTTACTGCTTTTCCAAAGGACCTAAGTGTTTCCCAAGACTCATGTTGGATGGCTCCATCAGTACCTGTAACTCCAGCTCCAGGATATCTAATGTCCTCTTCTGGCATAAAGTCCTGTAGTCCAGAAGTAAATCTGTTGTCTGAAGTGTCTCCAGAATGTCGTGCTTCTTTTCACAGGTATACGGCAGATGATGAAACAATATTCTTTTCTTATATTCAATTCTAATTGTTACTAAATTGCTATCTTTCATGTGGCAAATATTTGCTTAATGTATAGTTGGCTTTCAATTATTAGGCTTTTCCTTAATTTCATTTTTAAATACCAAATAAGGTATTCAGAACTTTCAACAATACAAAACTGGCCCAGCAGTGGTGGTGCACACCGTTGATCCCAGCACTCCAGAGGCAGACACAGGTGGGTCAATGTAAGTTCGAGGCCAGCATGGTCTACTGAGTGAGTTCCCAGGACAGCCAAGGCTCCACAGAGAAAACTTCTTGGAAAAAAAAAAAAAAGAATTTCAACTCACCTGTGTATTCTAGAGCCCATTCACTGTCAAGATAATCACATGTTGATCATCTATAGCTGCTTCAAAGTTTTTAAACACTGACTTTTTCCTTTGTTTCAGTGATAGTAAGAACCCAATTAGCTGGGTGCTGGTGGTGCATGCCTTTAATCCCAGTACTCAGAAGGCAGAGGCAGGTGGATCTCTGTGAATTCGATACCAGCCTGGGCTGCAGAGTGAGATCCAGGACAGGCACCAAAACTACACAGAGAAACCCTGTCTCAAAAAACCAAGAAAAAGAAAAAACAAAAACAAAAACAAAAATTGGTATTATAGCCAAAGTGTGTCTCATGTCTTATTTTATAATAAATTTTTTTATAATAAATAAATTTTATAATCACTATGGTCAATGGTAGGATTTATAACTATTTATAATTATAACTAATTATAATTTATAAGCAAAGTGAGAAAGCAGGCTGAGTGAGCCATGGAGAGCAAGCAAGTTAGCAACATTCCTCCATAGCCTTGGCTAGTTACTCCTCCAGGTATCAATAGGCATACATCACCACACCTTGCTCACTTAGTTAAATTTTTAAAAAACGAAAAAAGTGGGTGGATGGGGATATCCAGGAAGAGCTGGAACAGGGGAGTAGGGTGAATACACTCAAAATACATTGTATGAAGTCTAAAGAATAAATAAAAACAGGCTGGAGCGTTAACTCGGCAGTTCACAACGCTTTTTGCTCTTGTAGAGAACCAGAGTTGTAACTAGCTCCAAAGGCTTGTAACTAGCTCCAAAGGATCTTTGTCCTCTTCTGTGGGCACTGACACTCACATGCATATCCCAAAATACACACACACACACACACACACACAATTAAAAATAAAATAAAATCTTTAAAAATTAAAGAAAATATCATTTTAAAGTAACTGTAATAATTAAACATATATAAAACGAAAACTAATGCAAATCGGGAAATAGTTAAATTAATTGAACAGATGGTTTCAAAAGAAGAAATACAAATGGCCAATAAATAAACAAAAAATTCAACATCCCTAGCTATTAGGAAGACAAAAATCAAAACTGCATTAATATTTCATCTTATAGCCACACATAGTAGTACACACCTTTAGTCCCAGCAATTGGGAAACAGAGACAGATCCCTGAGTTCCAGGGCAGCCCGCCTACAGAGCAAGTTCCAGGACATCCAGGGCCACACAGAGAAACCTGTTTTACTCATACGCACACACACACACACACACACACACACACACACACACACACACACACGGAAAAAAGAAAACAATTTATCTTCCCAGTAAAAATTGCTATCATTTAAAAAAAATGCTGGGTATTGCAGTGTATGCCTTTAATCCCACAACTCAGGATACACAGAGGCAGGGAGATCACTATCAGTACAAGGCCAGCCTGGTCTATATAGTAAATTCCAGGCCAGCCAGGAATATATATAATATATAAAATAAAAACAAAAAAAAATTGTGCATGGGGGGATTGGAGAGATGGTCGGGCAGTTAGGAGCCCTGGCTGCTCTTCCAGAGGACCTAGTTTGAGTCCCAGCACCAACAAGGTGGTTCACAGTCACCCAGAGGATCTGACACTCTTCTGGCTTCTACGGGCACCAGGGATGCACATCAGACACAGAAATGTATGCAAGTAAAACAAAATTTTATTTGTTTGTTTGGTTTTGGTTTTTTGAGGCAAGGTTTTTCTGTATAATAGCCCTACCTGTCCTGGAACTCGCTTTGTAGACCAAGCTGGCCATGAACTCAGAGATCCACCAACCTCTGGCTCCTAAGTACTGGGATTAAAGGCATGCACCACCACACCCAGTTAAAATTAAAATATTTTAAATTAAAATAAGATTCCTCAAGGAGCAGAGACAGCAAGACAGACTTTGATACCTATGAGGATCGGGTCTGCAACAACTTAGGTGGCCTTAGAGGGCCCCAAGGCAGTGCTAATGGCCATGGGTCCTGAAGCCAGGAGCTGCCCGCTGAGCCTCCCTACACAGCTTACATAGGAAATCTCCCTTTCAACACAATTCAGGGTGACATATATGGTTTCTTAAGGATCTCAGCATAAGATGCGCGGGTAGCCAGAGACAAAGACACTGACAAATTTAAAGGGTTCTGCTACGTAGAATTTGATGAGGAGGATTCCCTGAAGGAGGCTCTGATTTACAACAGTGCACTCTTGGGTGACCAATCACTTCGTGTGGACATTGCAGAAGGCAGAAAAAAAAAAAAAAATAATGGTGGCTTTGGGTTCAGAAAAGGCGGACCTGATGACAGAAGAATCCAGAAGTGACAGAGAATCTAGAGGTGAATGGAATTCTCCCGGGATGACTTCTTAGGGCATGGGCAAAGGGGTCGCCCTTGGGACTAGTTGTTGGTTAAATGGCACGCTGCCTGCAGTGGCCATGCTGACAGAGGAGAGTGCTGGAGGAGAGTCACAAGCCATGGTTACCTTTTTAGAGCTTTATTGGTGTGTGTGTGGGGGGGGGGGGGACACAGACGGAAGGAAGGAGCGGAAAGGAAAGAGAGGGACGCACAGAGGGCCCACCCGCTTTTTTGGCTGGGACGCCCTCGCAGGCTGAGGACGTAATTAAGGACAGAATCCTTACACTAGTGGGCAGGCCTTCCAATGGAGAGTCGCTTTTGAGAGGGCCCTCTTCTGTGTAGCTCTAACATGAACTTCAGAGAACCCACAGAAGAGGTTTTGTATAATATTAAGGACCAGCGTTAGTATTACAACCTCCGCGGGGCCCAGAAAGGACACTACCAGCAGCGTGGGAATGAATCCAGATGCACGGAGCTCTTTCGTCCAGCTTGTTTATTTGTCCGCCACCATCATTCTGTTCTAATATTCTGCCCGCTTCTCTTGGAACTCATCTATATCTTTTCCAAGCCAGGAACACCTTCATGCTTACAATACAACATAAGAATTGGAAGGCCCCCACCAGAAGCTTTGTCACAACTTCATTTGCAACCCAAAAAGGGGAAGAGAATACAGGTGGAATTAGATAGGAGCTGGAATAAATCAGATAATGGATTTATGTCCTAGGAATATATCCTTACTGTGGTTAGGTGAAAACATTATGGGTCTATCCTAAATGTGCTCAAACCATAAACTTACAGGTGATAGGGTAAAGAAATCTAC